ATTATCAGGCCCTTCTGAAGGTAGTACAGTAATCCTCGACTTACAACCACAATTGAGTCCAAAATTTGTGTTGCTAAGTGAGATATTTGTTAAGTGAGTTTTGCCCCATTTTACAACCTTTCTTGCCACCGTTGTTAAGTGAATCACTAACATTGATCCGTTTATAACCCGCCTGTTAAGTGATTCTGGCTTTCCCCGTTGACTTTTGAGAGTCAAGGTTGCAAAAGGGAGTCACATGACCTTGCAACGGTCATAAGTGTGAACCAGTTGCCAAGCATCTGGATTTTGATTTCATGCCCATTAGTCACTTTTTTCAGTGCCGTTATAACTTTGAACGGTCACTGAACTGTTGTAAGTCAAGGATTACCTGTAGTCTTCCCACAAATTGCCAGCCTGGAACAGGAACGAGGAACAGGCCCCCAAGTTTGTTCTCTCAAGTCTTCAGAGAGGCAATTCCTCAGAGATCTCCCCTTAATGGTCAATCAAGCAATAGTTACTTAACGATTTATTTCTACCTGTGTAGGCCATGATATGAGTTCCCCACCTTCCTTTGGTGGTCTGGACCTTGGAGGGCCTATGATGACATTACTGAAACTTAGCAGCAAACTGACAAAACACCAGGCACCCTTTTTGTCAAAGAAAGTAAAAGAGAGGCATGAAACCTTGATTAAGCTTAATGCAGATATTGTCCTTTTTCTTAAAAAAAAGAAAGAAGAAGCCCAACCTCTTTCTCGGGATAAATGGACCTAAAATTGTTCTCCGTCCACTGGGGCCAGCAGAGCATCCCTTCACCCTCCTGGCTGCTGGCTGCTCATTTACAGGGAGCTGAGGAAATGCCATCCTTGTGGCCGAGCGATTCTGGTGATGGGCCTGCTTCCCTTCTTCCTTCCCTTCTTAAGTGCCCCAGCATAAGCCATTCCCCGAATACAATACAGCCACTCTGTTCTCTGACCCCCACGGCTTGTATTTCACCTTGCAGGTTTGTCTTGCTGGTGTCAGGCTTGGGCCTTGGTGGCAAGAGTGGAGACAGTCTCCTGGGCATGCAGCTTCTGGTGGACATGGTGACAGGACAGCTGGGCGCAGAGGGGGAGCAATCCAGTGCGGCCCTAATTTCTCGGGTCATTCTGGCAGGCAACTTGCTTAGCCAGCATACCCAGAGCAGAGACAACATGAACAAGGTGAAGGTGTCAGAAATGTCCTGTGAGCCACACTGTTAGCGTATACATTGCATTTATGTTGTGTCTGTCTTTTCACTCTCCATTTCAAAGGAAAGGAATAAATTTATTAGGTTTATTTTTTGTCACACCTTTATTTATTTTTAGGTTTATTTTATTTCATCACACATTATTGTAGTGTGAACAAGGTGGTGAATATTGCTCCCTCCTCCTATTTTCCCCACAACAACTATCCTGTGTAAGTGGGTTGGGCTAAGAATGTTTGGCCCAAAAATCACCCAGCCAGCTTTCATGGCTAAGGCGGGACTAGAACTCACAGTCTCTTGGTGATTGGCCCACCCAGCTGGCTTTCATGGCTAAGGAGGGATTAGAACTCACAGTCTCTTGGTGATTGGCCCACCCAGCTGGCTTTCATGGCTAAGGAGGGATTAGAACTCACAGTCTCTTGGTGATTGGCCCACCCAGCTGGCTTTCATGGCTAAGGAGGGATTAGAACTCACAGTCTCTTGGTGATTGGCCCACCCAACTGGTTTTCATGGCTAAGGAGGGATTAGAACTCACAGTCTCTTGGTGATTGGCCCACCCAACTGGTTT